GCCCCGGTTACTGGCATTCTTGTCATCATTGTAAGACCATGAGGTCTGGAGAGAATAGACATATTCTCAGGCTTCTTGCTTCCCCCGCAACTTTCAGCCCATAGTAGGTGCTCATAGCAGCTAAACCCCTTTCGCCAATGATTCCAGTGCGTCCACTGTGTGCCAGGCCCCAAGTCAGGGCCATGACAGAAGCCAGGCAGATCTTGGATCACATCCCGGCACACTTGGCTCTGTGACCTAATCTCTCTGGGCTAAGGGCTCTCCGCCTACAGGTAATATGGGACTAATAGATGATAGGGCTGCTGGGAAGATTCCGTCAGAGGAGGCAGCCCGAGAGCTGCTCCCAGTGGCTGGCGCCTAAGAGTGAGCGGCAGCTTGGCTCATCGGCTGAGAGGGCGCAGGGTGGGCAGCCTCAGCCTCCGAGCAGTGAGCAGCAGGGGGCCCTGCGGGCAGGTTGTGTGTGTGAGTTGAGGACCGCGGTGGGAGCTGGCTGCCTTGCCCCCTGCAGGGCTTCGGGACACGGAGTGGCTGGGCCGGACGCAGGTGCTGCGGCGCGGGCCCCTCACCTGGTACCTGGACGGCGCGCACACCACCAGCAGCGTGCAGGCCTGCGTGCGCTGGTTCCACCAGGCGCTGCTCCGAGGCCACAGGCCTGGCCGGTGAGCTTCCGGGGCGGGGCTGCGCGGGGTGGCTGGGGGGAAGGGGGGTTGGGATAGGGTCGGGGTCAGGACTGGGCCGGGAGGGAGGGACGGGGCCTGGGGGGAGGGGTAGAGGGGCCAGATGCTGGGGGGCGCTGCTGGGACTGGATCAGGGAGGAGGAGGGGAAGCTTCTGGAGGAAGGATGGGGCAGGGCCCGCAGAGAAGGGTGGGAGGTACCCCTCTCTCACCACCCCCCCACCTGCCCTCCTCTCCGCACCCCCCCCCCCAGCGGCCCTGAGGTACGCATCTTGCTCTTCAACTCCACCGGGGACCGGGATTCCGCGGCCCTGCTGAAGCTGCTGCAGGTGAGGGGCAGCTGGGGGGTGGTCGGGTTCTGGTGGCCCCTGGTTCTGGCCTTGGGATCCCCAGAGGTGCCTTAATCCCTGGGCCTCTGGCTCTGAAATGGGCCTTCCCTGAACGGTAGTGAGGATTAAATGTAAAGGCACCGGGCTTGTAGGGAGGTCTAGGCCCAGGTAGGTCACTGCCCTCACCCTGCGGGGTTAAGCTGAAGCCCAGAGTTAAAGGGAGGACCAGGTAGGGGCGTAAGGTATAGAACTCGCTTGGCATGCCCCTTCAACCACTAGCATATGACTCTAGACAAGAGATGGCATTTCAGAGATGGTTTAAGGAGTTTCTGAGTTAATAGAGCATGTAGGGGCCCCTCTCTGCTTAGGAAAGTTGAGGTGCCCTTAGCTGTCAGGGCCGAAGTGGGTTCTGGGGATCATTTCCTATTTCAGAGACCAGGAGGCTGAAGCTCTTCATCTCTCTCATTGTGCAGACAAAGCCTTTCGCCATCCTGGATAGCTGGGTGGTCTTAAGCAAGTCCCCCTTCCCAGCCTCAGTGTTCCCATCTGTACAGTGGGCCATGTTGCCCAGGCCACGGGCCTGCAGGGTATACTGAGGTAGATGGGCCGCTGAGGGGCTATGGCTGGGTTTATAAAGTTTCACTCCAGTTTAGCTGGGTGGAGGCATCTCTAGAGATGGGGATGTTGGGGGGGGGGGCGCCCGGGGCTGCTGCTCTGTGCAAGTCGGGGTGGTGGGCCATCCTCTCGGGACTCTGACATCAAGTCCTTCCTCTTGGCCTAGCCCTGTCAGTTTGACTATGCTGTTTTCTGCCCTAACCTGACAGAGGTGTCGTCTGCTGGCAACGCAGGTAAGAGGTGACGGGCATGGCCTCTGGGTGTGAGCAGGGGGTGGAAGGCCCTCCAGTGGGCTGCTCTGATGGTGACAGTGGGGGCTTCGAAACGGGGGGTCCAGGGAAGGAGCTAGATTTATTTTACTGTAGAGATAAACACTCTTTGGTGCGTTTTGGATATTGTGACGGTGGTACCAGAACAGAATTACTGGTGGGGACGGGAATGGTTTTCAAACTGCAGGCTGCAACCCACTGATGGTTTTATAATCAATTTAGTGGGTATAAACCAGCATTTTTAAAATGAAATGCCTTGCACAAAGGGTAGGTATTGTTTTATGACGATTCTGTCCCAGACACCTGTATACACCTGTGGGAGTACTGAGTTGCCATCATAAAGTGTATTTTTTACTGTGGGTCATGTTCAAAAAAATTTGAAATAGTGTAAAAAAAATGCAGATCCCCCGGCCCCACATCAGACAGTTGGGGAGAGTCCAGGAATCCGCATTCTACTCATGCCCACCTGTGTGCCGGACTCTGCTTTACAGTTGAAGGCAGTGAAGCTAGGGTGGGGAGATGTGTTCAGTGGACAAAAGCCCCAGCTTTGGAGCTAAGCTGCCTGGCCCTGCTTCCCACCAGCTCTGGGACCGGTGGCAAGTCCCCATCTGCGTCTCCGTTTCCTCCCAGCACGGCCCACCGTGAGGCCCGATGGTGCGGGTAAAGGGCCTGGCTTTGTTTTTTTTTTTAAGATTTTATTCATTTGACAGAAAGACAGCGAGAGAGGGAGCACAAGCAGGGGGAGTGGGGGAGGGAGAAGCAGGCTTCTCGCTGAGCAAGGCCCCACCATGGGGCTCAATCCCAAGACCCTGGGATCATGACCTGAGCCGAAGGCACACGCTTAACGACTGAGCCACCCAGGCGCCCCAAGGGCCTGGCTTTGAGCAGGTGCTCACAACGTGCCTCCCCCGTCCCCCCCCCCGGTCCCTGTGGCTGACGTGCCCATCCTTATGCCCCGCAGACCAGCAGAACTTCATGGTGACCCTGGACCAGGTGCTGCTCCGTTGCCTCGCTCACCAACAGTACTGGAGCCACCTGGCCGAGGCGCAGGCCAGCCCAGACCTCTGGAGCCCCCCCAGCCCGGAGCCTGGTGAGCCCACATCCTCGCTGCTGGCTTCCCACCCACCCCGCACCCATAGCACCAGCTCCCTCGTCTTCAGCTGCATCTCGCACGCCCTGCAGTGGATCAGCCAAGGCCGGGACCCTGTCTTTCAGCCACCCAGTCCCCCACAGGGCCTCCTTGCCCACCCTGTGGCAGGCAGCGGGGCCGGCGTGCTCCGCGAGGCTGCCGCCATCCATGTACTTGTCACGGGCAGCTTGCACCTGGTGGGCGGCGTCCTGAAGCTGCTGGAGCCTGCCCTGTCCCAGTAGCCCAGGCAGTGGGGGTGGAAATGGGGGTTCTCCCACGCCTGCCTTGCAGCTCTCCATGAACTCCTGTTAGGTGCCTTTTGTTGTCAGCTTTTCGGATTCTGTCCAGAGTGGCCCAGGGGCCCGGGCTCTGGGCAGCAAGATCGAGGGCTAGAACGGGGGAGGCCAAGATGGGACATCCTCTGAGCCTAGGGTGCCTTTGGCCTCTCCTTCCTCCTGAGACAGCCTGAGGGCTTCCTGGTTTTCCCACTGTTGTAGCAGGCCAGACTATGCAGCCCACCTCCCTTGCCACCTTTGCCTGCCTCCTGGCTCCAGCCCAGCTCACTATGTGAGCTGCCTGGCCAGGCCTAGGGTCCTGCTGGGTGCTGGTTGATGGATTACCTCTTAGTGGCCTTCTGGGGAAGAGAGGGCTCCTGCTGGGGTCCACTAGAGACAGAGGATGGCTGGAGTCAATTAAAGCCTTTAACTTTCTTAAAAAAGGAAATGGCAAAATGTTTGAGCGACTCAATCTCTAGCTCCGTTAGCACACAATAGGGGCATGAGGGCTGCAGCTGGTCCAGGAACTGGACAGGGGAGGAACCCAGGCTGTAGGGCCTGGGACAAGCCACCCCCACCCCTGGCCCCTGAGCCTCAGGGGGGTCTGTCTGCAGCCAGAACACTGGACTCAGGTCTGTTGGCCACAGGCCAGGCGCGGATTTACAGACCTCCCCCCAGAGACCTTGTGACAGATGAGGGAACTGTGGCTGGCTCAAATAAGACACGGTCCCTGGCCACAGTCACGTAGCCAATTCAGTGGCAGATTCAGGATTTGACCCCAGAGCTGTCACCTCCCCACCCATTTTAGGCTTCCCGCCCTTTGTCCCTGCCCAGCCCGGCACGGATTTCATGGTCTAATTTATTGGTGGTGAGTATATAGGGGTGGGTCCAGGCCAGACAGTAGGGCCACTTCCCATCAGATGCCTGCCTCGTGGGGGGGGGGGGGGGGTCCTCCATGTGACAGTTGCGGGAGGAGCTAGGGTCCCCACTTCCCAGGCTGGGCACCCCTAGGCTTCTGTTTCCCTTGCCAGAGTAGTGCCAGGCCAGGTGTGGAGGCCGCTGGGAGCAGGTCCAGGTGGCTCTGGGCTGGCCCTCTTCTGTTTCCGTGCAGGAGGCCTGGGTGAGTCTGTTTTGAGTTCTTCCCTCCCACCCAGCCCCGGTCACCAGGTGCTGGATCCAGGTGAAAACTACAGGGACTCGGTTTCTACAACAGTGTGGACTTGGAGGGCAGTGGTCTCCCTCTCCGTGGTGCTGGGCAGCCGTAGTCCGGGCCCACTGGGTTTGAAGGTTCGGTGGGGTGGGGGTACCCCCAAGGTGTTCCGAGCTCGTGCCCCTGCTGGCAGCAGACCTCTGAGAGGGAGGCAGGAGGGGTGGGTGCAGAGGGCATGGTCCATCCTTGGTCGAGTAGAGGGCTTGGGGTCCCGGGGTAAGTTCATGGCCAGTGGTTCCCAGCTGGTGGCTGCTGGGCGAGCGCTGCCTGGGGGGCCCGGAGGTGTCCGGGCCGGGTGCTACGCCACGCTGCTGGTGGAGCAGGGGGTGCTCTGGGTGCTCCCAATGCTGTGGTTGGTGCTACTGGTCTCTGAGGAGGCCGGGGCAGCCACCGCCACCACGGGCTCCCGCTTGCCGGGGGGACCTGGGGGCAGGGGCGGAGGTCAGGGCCCCGGCCGGGGCTCCCCACTCCCCCAGAGGCTCCCCCGGGCTCCCCCCGGTGATGGTGGCAGAGGGACCCTGAGCACTCATGGTGGGGGCCTGGGATACTCACGCGTGTGCGAGTAGATGTACCAGAGCGCGGCGGTGAGCAGGGCCCCAATGAGGAAGGCGCCGAAGGTGATGCCCAGCACAGCGGGCAGGACGAGGCCTTTGTCTGTGCACGCAAGGGAAGGATGGCTGCAGTCAGTGCTCTGGCCCCCTCCCTAGTCCCCTACCGTGTTGTGCTGGCCAGGGGCACAGGTTTGGGCGTCAGTCCCGGCTCGGCCACTGACCCTGACTTCTCTGGGTCTCAATCTTCTCATCTGGCAGATGGATTCATCACACCCATGCCTGGCACTGAGCCATGGCTGTTCTGACCATCCACGCAGCCAGGCCTTTGGGCCATGCCTCTGCCTTCTAAGGCTGATGGAGATGCACTTTTAGGGAGAATGGATGGTATAATCTGAGCTAAAAGTAAGTGGGGCCTGGGAGTGGGTAGGTAGGAATTCCTACTATGGTAGGAATGGGCCGGAGTACTCCTGAGGGCTCTTCAGCTCTGCTCTTGGGTTTTCCCAGGCCTCATTCCATCCACACTCCTGACTCCTGGGTGACTGTGGGCTTCCCCTTGGACACTGAGTTCCCATCGATGCAATGGGGTAATTGGCCCTGTTCTCTTGGTCATGGGCTGGGGTCAGGGCTCTATCCTAACCCAGGTACGGTGGCAAGGAAGCAGGTGCCCCCGACCTCTACCTCCAGTATCAGTGACCTTTTCTGCCTGGTGGGGGCCTGGGCCCACAGGGAATAAAAAAGGAGGCCGGAGGGTCCTGGGCTGAAGGAGCATCCTCCACACTGGGGGCCTCAAGAAGGTGAGGCCAGCCCGGCTCCAGCATGCCTTCTGCCTTATTTGATTCCAGGACCTCTACCCCCACCCTAAGCAAGGTCAGCTGGCAACTCTGGGGATTAAGAAAACCTAAATGCCTGGGATCTGGTCCATGGGGTAGTCAAGAGCAAAGGCTTTCTATCTAGAAGATAACAGCATGCATCCTACACTATGCTGCTGGGGGCCCTTCTGCCCTTGCTCCCAGGGATGCTCTTTCTGGGGTCCTCCCTGCATGTGTCTGTGCTGCACCCCTCTGGGCCACCCATCAGGTCCCACACTGGCCTCAGCCACTGGAACCCTAGAGAGACTCACCAGGCAGGCCAGGGCTGACGATGTTCAGACGCGTGGAGATAGTCCTGTGGGCGTCCTGGGGGAGGAAAAGAGAGTGGTGGATAGCACAGCCTGCAGGAGGCAGTGACTGGGCTTATTTCCTGGCTCTGTGACCATGGCCTGTCACAACCCGCCCTGGGGCCTTGGCTTTGGATCCTATCCCACCACTTCCTAGCTGTGAGCCTTTGGGCAAGTCCTGGGAGATCCATGCTGAGGGAGGGTGTTGGGTGGACAACCCTTGGCCGCTACGAGGATGTTCCCTGGGAGGCTCCCGAATCCCATGAGGGTTGTAAGGGCACTCTGCACTGCATCTGTGACCCTTGTGAACACCTGGGAGAGATGAGTCAGGTTAGCCCAGAGGCCCATGCTCACTGAGAGGGGAAGACCCACTCAGGAGTGGCCCCAAAGGCTTGCCTAGCTTCATACAACCAGGAAAGTTTCTTTTTTCTTTTTTTTTTTTTTTTTAAAGATTTTATTTATTTATTTGAGAGAGAGAATGAGAGACAGAG